GAAATAGGCTTATTTTACTTTAGTTTAAAACAGCAGAAAGAATAAGCATGGTAATGCACCTAGACATTACTATTTAAAGCTAGCTGTAGTGATTAAGAAAGATCCATCACCAATTGCCCTCATACTTTACCATCATCCAGATCCGTGCATCAGCTGGGGAGCCCCGTCACAGCGAAGGGTCGGAGAGGCTTTCCCGGCAATTGGGAAGTCCTACGCAGTGCGTCCGCTCGTAGGTGAGGTCTGCGTCTGTGCTGTGAGAGGGTCCAGGTTTTATAGAGTTTAACAAACAAGTCTAAACAAAACGCACAGGAGATATCTGGTAGATTGATATGGCTCACTCAGGCGTGTCCGGATCTGGCCAGGATCCGGCCATGCGCGAGGAGTTTCTGTTTTTCTTTACATTTGGGATTTATAGTTACTTCCTATTGTTTACTTATAGTTCCCAGGGATTGTTCCCAGGGTTACGTTTTCATGCTGATAATATACGGGTTGCTTCAGTCTGCTGATAAGATGCTGATTGCTGGTCGGGGAATTCACTCAGAAGTGAACTTTGGTTTGAGGCCTATTGTTTGGGCCCCTTTTTGTTTCAGCCGGCAGCTTTGAAACGGCCTGACAGTTTAGGAGTAGCGCTCGGGGATATTAGAAATGCCCCTCGCCAACCGCTGCGGCCGGCCCAGCTCCGCCAGCTGGCCCCGGCTCCTCCCAGGGCACCAAGGAAGCCCCCCGCGCCACCCTGGCTGGGCACAAAGGCCTCGCAGCCCTGCGCCCACCAGACCCCAAGGAGTCGCGAGACACAGCTCCCTGCTCTGCCCGGCACGGCCACGCCGGCGCCACAAAATAGGAGCTGCTGGGTGGCCCTAGAGCCATCGCCAGCCTGCGGCCAGCGGCCACGGGGCGCGCCAGGAGCCTTCCCAAGGAGGACGAGCAAGGCCAGGGCGAGCGAGCCCAAAGCCTTTGCCGCAAAGAGCGGGCGCCAAAAAGGGTGTCCCTGGGCGGTCTTGTGTCCCGGCAGGAGCCGGGGCCGCCCCTACAGTCTCCCCTGGCGGTCTTCCGTCCCGGCAGGAGCCGGGGCCGCCCCTAGTCTCCCCTGCGGTCTCCCATCCCGGTTGGAACCGGGGCCGCTCCTGCTTAGCTTCCCCAGGGGGCCTGTTAAGGGGAGGGTAGCTGCACCGTGGCCCCCGCCAGCTCCGCCCCCCAGCACCGCCTTTAGCTCCGCCTCCTTTCCCGCTCCACCAGCTCCACAAAGGCTCCTGACAACAGGCCGGGCCGCACACTCGCCCTCGCCAAACCCAGCCCGAGCAAAGCCCTCGCACACTCGCCACACCCACCGGGGACCCTGCCACAGCACCTTCCCGGCCTCTCGGCTCCCAGCGCACCACCACGCCTGCCACCCCCCGACCACTGCCCCGGGCACCTTCGGGGCCACCCGCGCCCCAGGCTCACCCTTCACCTTCCCTCGGCACATCGCGCGGGAAAAGGAAGGCATTTTTTCCCACGGCCCGCCCCTGGGCACCTCGTGCTGCTGCGTGGCTTCCTCAGCGTCCGTCCGACCGACAAGGGGGCGCCTGCTTTCATCGCCGGAAATCCCGCGGGCACCCTCTCCAATCCGAAGACGCTCACTCGATTCTTCGGACCGGCCTCCCGTCAAGGGACACGAGCCCCTCTGCTAACCGTGCCTCACCTCTCAGCATGGCTACAAGCTTTTCCCACCGGGAAAGCTGTGATTTACGGATGAAAGACTTCACAACAAAGGGTTGTAAAGCAGGTATGTTTATTCGGCGCCGGGCACGTGGGGGATGGCTCCGCCACAACAAGCATGCGCGCCCCCCTGCCCTGCTAGTCTTGCTTCTATGTTACAAAGCGTTGCATATTCATGAGACGCCTATGCATATTCATAACCTATTCCCGCCTACCCTCGCTTCTTATTATAATTAGGTCTCCTCCTCCTTGCGGCTGCGCAGGGAGTTCCTTTGGTCCTGGGCGGGGGTCGTGAAGAGCTGGGCAGTGGTCGTGGGAGGAAGTATCTCCTCTTCCTCACTGCTTAACTTTTCATCCTGAATTCCTGCGCAGTCTCTGTCGCCTCCTGGAGCTGGGCTAAACCGCAGAGCTGGTTTGTGCCGGTTGTGAGGTGATCTTTTGCTGATACACACTTATTTAAGGGAAGGAAAGGGGGGGCCCTCTTTTGAATAGGAAACAGAGGCAGAGCAAAACAGGCAATGTCTCTTGTCTCGTGCAAGCATAATACCAAATTTGGTTAATATCCCATTTCAGCTGCAACTGAGCAGGTGGTCGATTCGCACTCCTGCCCAAAATCATCCCCACCTACACAACCCCTGAAACCAGGGGAGCACCTCACAACCCTCACACTCTTCAGCTGCAAGACCAAACCTGCATTTCCAAACCACCGAGAACACACCAACAGCCACAGGCTCCGTATCTTCCACAGTCCTGGGCAGAGACACACGGAAAGAAGGATTCAGTCTCTCCACAGAACACGACTGGAAAACACCAACGCCGGCAGCTTTGAAACGGCCTGACAGTTTAGGAGTAGCGCTCGGGGATATTAGAAATGCCCCTCGCCAACCGCTGCGGCCGGCCCAGCTCCGCCAGCTGGCCCCGGCTCCTCCCAGGGCACCAAGGAAGCCCCCCGCGCCACCCTGGCTGGGCACAAAGGCCTCGCAGCCCTGCGCCCACCAGACCCCAAGGAGTCGCGAGACACAGCTCCCGCTCTGCCCGGCACGGCCACGCCGGCGCCACAAAATAGGAGCTGCTGGGTGGCCCTAGAGCCATCGCCAGCCTGCGGCCAGCGGCCACGGGGCGCGCCAGGAGCCTTCCCAAGGAGGACGACCAAGGCCAGGGCGAGCGAGCCCAAAGCCTTTGCCGCAAAGAGCGGGCGCCAAAAAGGGTGTCCCTGGGCGGTCTTGTGTCCCGGCAGGAGCCGGGGCCGCCCCTACAGTCTCCCCTGGCGGTCTTCCGTCCCGGCAGGAGCCGGGGCCGCCCCTAGTCTCCCCTGCGGTCTCCCATCCCGGTTGGAACCGGGGCCGCTCCTGCTTAGCTTCCCCAGGGGGCCTGTTAAGGGGAGGGTAGCTGCACCGTGGCCCCCGCCAGCTCCGCCCCCCAGCACCGCCTTTAGCTCCGCCTCCTTTCCCGCTCCACCAGCTCCACAAAGGCTCCTGACAACAGGCCGGGCCGCACACTCGCCCTCGCCAAACCCAGCCCGAGCAAAGCCCTCGCACACTCGCCACACCCACCGGGGACCCTGCCACAGCACCTTCCCGGCCTCTCGGCTCCCAGCGCACCACCACGCCTGCCACCCCCCGACCACTGCCCCGGGCACCTTCGGGGCCACCCGCGCCCCAGGCTCACCCTTCACCTTCCCTCGGCACATCGCGCGGGAAAAGGAAGGCATTTTTTCCCACGGCCCGCCCCTGGGCACCTCGTGCTGCTGCGTGGCTTCCTCAGCGTCCGTCCGACCGACAAGGGGGCGCCTGCTTTCATCGCCGGAAATCCCGCGGGCACCCTCTCCAATCCGAAGACGCTCACTCGATTCTTCGGACCGGCCTCCCGTCAAGGGACACGAGCCCCTCTGCTAACCGCGCCTCACCTCTCAGCATGGCTACAAGCTTTTCCCACCGGGAAAGCTGTGATTTACGGATGAAAGACTTCACAACAAAGGGTTGTAAAGCAGGTATGTTTATTCGGCGCCGGGCACGTGGGGGATGGCTCCGCCACAACAAGCATGCGCGCCCCCCTGCCCTGCTAGTCTTGCTTCTATGTTACAAAGCGTTGCATATTCACGAGACGCCTATGCATATTCATAACCTATTCCCGCCTACCCTCGCTTCTTATTATAATTAGGTCTCCTCCTCCTTGCGGCTGCGCAGGGAGTTCCTTTGGTCCTGGGCGGGGGTCGTGAAGAGCTGGGCAGTGGTCGTGGGAGGAAGTATCTCCTCTTCCTCACTGCTTAACTTTTCATCCTGAATTCCTGCGCAGTCTCTGTCGCCTCCTGGAGCTGGGCTAAACCGCAGAGCTGGTTTGTGCCGGTTGTGAGGTGATCTTTTGCTGATACACACTTATTTAAGGGAAGGAAAGGGGGGGCCCTCTTTTGAATAGGAAACAGAGGCAGAGCAAAACAGGCAATGTCTCTTGTCTCGTGCAAGCATAATACCAAATTTGGTTAATATCCCATTTCAGCTGCAACTGAGCAGGTGGTCGATTCGCACTCCTGCCCAAAATCATCCCCACCTACACAACCCCTGAAACCAGGGGAGCACCTCACAACCCTCACACTCTTCAGCTGCAAGACCAAACCGCATTTCCAAACCACCGAGAACACACCAACAGCCACAGGCTCCGTATCTTCCACAGTCCTGGGCAGAGACACACGGAAAGAAGGATTCAGTCTCTCCACAGAACACGACTGGAAACACCAACGCCGGTGTTTTGCCAATTGACGGGCTTAACACAAAGGACACAGACACCAAGCTAAAGAAATAGGCTTATTTTACTTTATTTTAAAATAGCAGAAAGAATAAGCATGGTAATGCACCTAGGCATTACTATTTAAAGCTAGCTGTAGTGATTAAGAAAGATCCATCACCAACTGCCCTCATACTTTACCATCATCCAGATCCGTGCATCAGCTGGGGAGCCCCGTCACAGCGAAAGGTCGGAGAGGCTTTCCCGGCAATTGGGAAGTCCCACGCAGTGCGTCCGCTCGTAGGTGAGGTCTGCGTCTGTGCTGTGAGAGGGTCCAGGTTTTATAGAGTTTAACAAACAAGTCTAAACAAAACGCACAGGAGATATCTGGTAGATTGATATGGCTCACTCAGGCGTGTCCGGATCTGGCCAGGATCCGGCCATGCCCGAGGAGTTTCTGTTTTTCTTTACATTTGGGATTTATAGTTACTTCCTATTGTTTACTTATAGTTCCCAGGGATTGTTCCCAGGGTTACGTTTTCATGCTGATAAGATACGGGTTGCTTCAGTCTGCTGATAAGATGCTGATTGCTGGTCGGGGAACTCACTCAGAAGTGAACTTTGGTTTGAGGCCTATTGTTTGGGCCCCTTTTTGTTTCAGCCGGCAGCTTTGAAAGGGCCTGACAGTTTAGGAGTAGCGCTCGGGGATATTAGAAATGCCCCTCGCCAACCGCTGCGGCCGGCCCAGCTCCGCCAGCTGGCCCCGGCTCCTGCCAGGGCACCAAGGAAGCCCCCCGCGCCACCCTGGCTGGGCACAAAGGCCTCGCAGCCCTGCGCCCACCAGACCCCAAGGAGTCGCGAGACACAGCTCCCGCTCTGCCCGGCACGGCCACGCCGGCGCCACAAAATAGGAGCTGCTGGGTGGCCCTAGAGCCATCGCCAGCCTGCGGCCAGCGGCCACGGGGCGCGCCAGGAGCCTTCCCAAGGAGGACGACCAAGGCCAGGGCGAGCGAGCCCAAAGCCTTTGCCGCAAAGAGCGGGCGCCAAAAAGGGTGTCCCTGGGCGGTCTTGTGTCCCGGCAGGAGCCGGGGCCGCCCCTACAGTCTCCCCTGGCGGTCTTCCGTCCCGGCAGGAGCCGGGGCCGCCCCTAGTCTCCCCTGCGGTCTCCCATCCCGGTTGGAACCGGGGCCGCTCCTGCTTAGCTTCCCCGGGGGGCCTGTTAAGGGGAGGGTAGCTGCACCGTGGCCCCCGCCAGCTCCGCCCCCCAGCACCGCCTTTAGCTCCGCCTCCTTTCCCGCTCCACCAGCTCCACAAAGGCTCCTGACAACAGGCCGGGCCGCACACTCGCCCTCGCCAAACCCAGCCCGAGCAAAGCCCTCGCACACTCGCCACACCCACCGGGGACCCTGCCACAGCACCTTCCCGGCCTCTCGGCTCCCAGCGCACCACCACGCCTGCCACCCCCCGACCACTGCCCCGGGCACCTTCGGGGCCACCCGCGCCCCAGGCTCACCCTTCACCTTCCCTCGGCACATCGCGCGGGAAAAGGAAGGCATTTTTTCCCACGGCCCGCCCCTGGGCACCTCGTGCTGCTGCGTGGCTTCCTCAGCGTCCGTCCGACCGACAAGGGGGCGCCTGCTTTCATCGCCGGAAATCCCGCGGGCACCCTCTCCAATCCGAAGACGCTCACTCGATTCTTCGGACCGGCCTCCCGTCAAGGGACACGAGCCCCTCTGCTAACCGCGCCTCACCTCTCAGGCATGGCTACAAGCTTTTCCCACCGGGAAAGCTGTGATTTACGGATGAAAGACTTCACAACAAAGGGTTGTAAAGCAGGTATGTTTATTCGGCGCCGGGCACGTGGGGGATGGCTCCGCCACAACAAGCATGCGCGCCCCCCTGCCCTGCTAGTCTTGCTTCTATGTTACAAAGCGTTGCATATTCACGAGACGCCTATGCATATTCATAACCTATTCCCGCCTACCCTCGCTTCTTATTATAATTAGGTCTCCTCCTCCTTGCGGCTGCGCAGGGAGTTCCTTTGGTCCTGGGCGGGGGTCGTGAAGAGCTGGGCAGTGGTCGTGGGAGGAAGTATCTCCTCTTCCTCACTGCTTAACTTTTCATCCTGAATTCCTGCGCAGTCTCTGTCGCCTCCTGGACCTGGGCTAAACCGCAGAGCTGGTTTGTGCCGGTTGTGAGGTGATCTTTTGCTGATACACACTTATTTAAGGGAAGGAAAGGGGGGGCCCTCTTTTGAATAGGAAACAGAGGCAGAGCAAAACAGGCAATGTCTCTTGTCTCGTGCAAGCATAATACCAAATTTGGTTAATATCCCATTTCAGCTGCAACTGAGCAGGTGGTCGATTCGCACTCCTGCCCAAAATCATCCCCACCTACACAACCCCTGAAACCAGGGGAGCACCTCACAACCCTCACACTCTTCAGCTGCAAGACCAAACCGCATTTCCAAACCACCGAGAACACACCAACAGCCACAGGCTCCGTATCTTCCACAGTCCTGGGCAGAGACACACGGAAAGAAGGATTCAGTCTCTCCACAGAACACGACTGGAAACACCAACGCCGGCAGCTTTGAAACGGCCTGACAGTTTAGGAGTAGCGCTCGGGGATATTAGAAATGCCCCTCGCCAACCGCTGCGGCCGGCCCAGCTCCGCCAGCTGGCCCCGGCTCCTGCCAGGGCACCAAGGAAGCCCCCCGCGCCACCCTGGCTGGGCACAAAGGCCTCGCAGCCCTGCGCCCACCAGACCCCAAGGAGTCGCGAGACACAGCTCCCGCTCTGCCCGGCACGGCCACGCCGGCGCCACAAAATAGGAGCTGCTGGGTGGCCCTAGAGCCATCGCCAGCCTGCGGCCAGCGGCCACGGGGCGCGCCAGGAGCCTTCCCAAGGAGGACGACCAAGGCCAGGGCGAGCGAGCCCAAAGCCTTTGCCGCAAAGAGCGGGCGCCAAAAAGGGTGTCCCTGGGCGGTCTTGTGTCCCGGCAGGAGCCGGGGCCGCCCCTACAGTCTCCCCTGGCGGTCTTCCGTCCCGGCAGGAGCCGGGGCCGCCCCTAGTCTCCCCTGCGGTCTCCCATCCCGGTTGGAACCGGGGCCGCTCCTGCTTAGCTTCCCCAGGGGGCCTGTTAAGGGGAGGGTAGCTGCACCGTGGCCCCCGCCAGCTCCGCCCCCCAGCACCGCCTTTAGCTCCGCCTCCTTTCCCGCTCCACCAGCTCCACAAAGGCTCCTGACAACAGGCCGGGCCGCACACTCGCCCTCGCCAAACCCAGCCCGAGCAAAGCCCTCGCACACTCGCCACACCCACCGGGGACCCTGCCACAGCACCTTCCCGGCCTCTCGGCTCCCAGCGCACCACCACGCCTGCCACCCCCCGACCACTGCCCCGGGCACCTTCGGGGCCACCCGCGCCCCAGGCTCACCCTTCACCTTCCCTCGGCACATCGCGCGGGAAAAGGAAGGCATTTTTTCCCACGGCCCGCCCCTGGGCACCTCGTGCTGCTGCGTGGCTTCCTCAGCGTCCGTCCGACCGACAAGGGGGCGCCTGCTTTCATCGCCGGAAATCCCGCGGGCACCCTCTCCAATCCGAAGACGCTCACTCGATTCTTCGGACCGGCCTCCCGTCAAGGGACACGAGCCCCTCTGCTAACCGCGCCTCACCTCTCAGCATGGCTACAAGCTTTTCCCACCGGGAAAGCTGTGATTTACGGATGAAAGACTTCACAACAAAGGGTTGTAAAGCAGGTATGTTTATTCGGCGCCGGGCACGTGGGGGATGGCTCCGCCACAACAAGCATGCGCGCCCCCCTGCCCTGCTAGTCTTGCTTCTATGTTACAAAGCGTTGCATATTCACGAGACGCCTATGCATATTCATAACCTATTCCCGCCTACCCTCGCTTCTTATTATAATTAGGTCTCCTCCTCCTTGCGGCTGCGCAGGGAGTTCCTTTGGTCCTGGGCGGGGGTCGTGAAGAGCTGGGCAGTGGTCGTGGGAGGAAGTATCTCCTCTTCCTCACTGCTTAACTTTTCATCCTGAATTCCTGCGCAGTCTCTGTCGCCTCCTGGACCTGGGCTAAACCGCAGAGCTGGTTTGTGCCGGTTGTGAGGTGATCTTTTGCTGATACACACTTATTTAAGGGAAGGAAAGGGGGGGCCCTCTTTTGAATAGGAAACAGAGGCAGAGCAAAACAGGCAATGTCTCTTGTCTCGTGCAAGCATAATACCAAATTTGGTTAATATCCCATTTCAGCTGCAACTGAGCAGGTGGTCGATTCGCACTCCTGCCCAAAATCATCCCCACCTACACAACCCCTGAAACCAGGGGAGCACCTCACAACCCTCACACTCTTCAGCTGCAAGACCAAACCGCATTTCCAAACCACCGAGAACACACCAACAGCCACAGGCTCCGTATCTTCCACAGTCCTGGGCAGAGACACACGGAAAGAAGGATTCAGTCTCTCCACAGAACACGACTGGAAACACCAACGCCGGTGTTTTGCCAATTGACGGGCTTAACACAAAGGACACAGACACCAAGCTAAAGAAATAGGCTTATTTTACTTTATTTTAAAATAGCAGAAAGAATAAGCATGGTAATGCACCTAGGCATTACTATTTAAAGCTAGCTGTAGTGATTAAGAAAGATCCATCACCAACTGCCCTCATACTTTACCATCATCCAGATCCGTGCATCAGCTGGGGAGCCCCGTCACAGCGAAAGGTCGGAGAGGCTTTCCCGGCAATTGGGAAGTCCTACGCAGTGCGTCCGCTCGTAGGTGAGGTCTGCGTCTGTGCTGTGAGAGGGTCCAGGTTTTATAGAGTTTAACAAACAAGTCTAAACAAAACGCACAGGAGATATCTGGTAGATTGATATGGCTCACTCAGGCGTGTCCGGATCTGGCCAGGATCCGGCCATGCCCGAGGAGTTTCTGTTTTTCTTTACATTTGGGATTTATAGTTACTTCCTATTGTTTACTTATAGTTCCCAGGGATTGTTCCCAGGGTTACGTTTTCATGCTGATAAGATACGGGTTGCTTCAGTCTGCTGATAAGATGCTGATTGCTGGTCGGGGAACTCACTCAGAAGTGAACTTTGGTTTGAGGCCTATTGTTTGGGCCCCTTTTTGTTTCAGACGGCAGCTTTGAAAGGGCCTGACAGTTTAGGAGTAGCGCTCGGGGATATTAGAAATGCCCCTCGCCAACCGCTGCGGCCGGCCCAGCTCCGCCAGCTGGCCCCGGCTCCTCCCAGGGCACCAAGGAAGCCCCCCGCGCCACCCTGGCTGGGCACAAAGGCCTCGCAGCCCTGCGCCCACCAGACCCCAAGGAGTCGCGAGACACAGCTCCCGCTCTGCCCGGCACGGCCACGCCGGCGCCACAAAATAGGAGCTGCTGGGTGGCCCTAGAGCCATCGCCAGCCTGCGGCCAGCGGCCACGGGGCGCGCCAGGAGCCTTCCCAAGGAGGACGAGCAAGGCCAGGGCGAGCGAGCCCAAAGCCTTTGCCGCAAAGAGCGGGCGCCAAAAAGGGTGTCCCTGGGCGGTCTTGTGTCCCGGCAGGAGCCGGGGCCGCCCCTACAGTCTCCCCTGGCGGTCTTCCGTCCCGGCAGGAGCCGGGGCCGCCCCTAGTCTCCCCTGCGGTCTCCCATCCCGGTTGGAACCGGGGCCGCTCCTGCTTAGCTTCCCCGGGGGGCCTGTTAAGGGGAGGGTAGCTGCACCGTGGCCCCCGCCAGCTCCGCCCCCCAGCACCGCCTTTAGCTCCGCCTCCTTTCCCGCTCCACCAGCTCCACAAAGGCTCCTGACAACAGGCCGGGCCGCACACTCGCCCTCGCCAAACCCAGCCCGAGCAAAGCCCTCGCACACTCGCCACACCCACCGGGGACCCTGCCACAGCACCTTCCCGGCCTCTCGGCTCCCAGCGCACCACCACGCCTGCCACCCCCCGACCACTGCCCCGGGCACCTTCGGGGCCACCCGCGCCCCAGGCTCACCCTTCACCTTCCCTCGGCACATCGCGCGGGAAAAGGAAGGCATTTTTTCCCACGGCCCGCCCCTGGGCACCTCGTGCTGCTGCGTGGCTTCCTCAGCGTCCGTCCGACCGACAAGGGGGCGCCTGCTTTCATCGCCGGAAATCCCGCGGGCACCCTCTCCAATCCGAAGACGCTCACTCGATTCTTCGGACCGGCCTCCCGTCAAGGGACACGAGCCCCTCTGCTAACCGCGCCTCACCTCTCAGCATGGCTACAAGCTTTTCCCACCGGGAAAGCTGTGATTTACGGATGAAAGACTTCACAACAAAGGGTTGTAAAGCAGGTATGTTTATTCGGCGCCGGGCACGTGGGGGATGGCTCCGCCACAACAAGCATGCGCGCCCCCCTGCCCTGCTAGTCTTGCTTCTATGTTACAAAGCGTTGCATATTCACGAGACGCCTATGCATATTCATAACCTATTCCCGCCTACCCTCGCTTCTTATTATAATTAGGTCTCCTCCTCCTTGCGGCTGCGCAGGGAGTTCCTTTGGTCCTGGGCGGGGGTCGTGAAGAGCTGGGCAGTGGTCGTGGGAGGAAGTATCTCCTCTTCCTCACTGCTTAACTTTTCATCCTGAATTCCTGCGCAGTCTCTGTCGCCTCCTGGACCTGGGCTAAACCGCAGAGCTGGTTTGTGCCGGTTGTGAGGTGATCTTTTGCTGATACACACTTATTTAAGGGAAGGAAAGGGGGGGCCCTCTTTTGAATAGGAAACAGAGGCAGAGCAAAACAGGCAATGTCTCTTGTCTCGTGCAAGCATAATACCAAATTTGGTTAATATCCCATTTCAGCTGCAACTGAGCAGGTGGTCGATTCGCACTCCTGCCCAAAATGATCCCCACCTACACAACCCCTGAAACCAGGGGAGCACCTCACAACCCTCACACTCTTCAGCTGCAAGACCAAACCGCATTTCCAAACCACCGAGAACACACCAACAGCCACAGGCTCCGTATCTTCCACAGTCCTGGGCAGAGACACACGGAAAGAAGGATTCAGTCTCTCCACAGAACACGACTGGAAACACCAACGCCGGCAGCTTTGAAACGGCCTGACAGTTTAGGAGTAGCGCTCGGGGATATTAGAAATGCCCCTCGCCAACCGCTGCGGCCGGCCCAGCTCCGCCAGCTGGCCCCGGCTCCTGCCAGGGCACCAAGGAAGCCCCCCGCGCCACCCTGGCTGGGCACAAAGGCCTCGCAGCCCTGCGCCCACCAGACCCCAAGGAGTCGCGAGACACAGCTCCCGCTCTGCCCGGCACGGCCACGCCGGCGCCACAAAATAGGAGCTGCTGGGTGGCCCTAGAGCCATCGCCAGCCTGCGGCCAGCGGCCACGGGGCGCGCCAGGAGCCTTCCCAAGGAGGACGACCAAGGCCAGGGCGAGCGAGCCCAAAGCCTTTGCCGCAAAGAGCGGGCGCCAAAAAGGGTGTCCCTGGGCGGTCTTGTGTCCCGGCAGGAGCCGGGGCCGCCCCTACAGTCTCCCCTGGCGGTCTTCCGTCCCGGCAGGAGCCGGGGCCGCCCCTAGTCTCCCCTGCGGTCTCCCATCCCGGTTGGAACCGGGGCCGCTCCTGCTTAGCTTCCCCGGGGGGCCTGTTAAGGGGAGGGTAGCTGCACCGTGGCCCCCGCCAGCTCCGCCCCCCAGCACCGCCTTTAGCTCCGCCTCCTTTCCCGCTCCACCAGCTCCACAAAGGCTCCTGACAACAGGCCGGGCCGCACACTCGCCCTCGCCAAACCCAGCCCGAGCAAAGCCCTCGCACACTCGCCACACCCACCGGGGACCCTGCCACAGCACCTTCCCGGCCTCTCGGCTCCCAGCGCACCACCACGCCTGCCACCCCCCGACCACTGCCCCGGGCACCTTCGGGGCCACCCGCGCCCCAGGCTCACCCTTCACCTTCCCTCGGCACATCGCGCGGGAAAAGGAAGGCATTTTTTCCCACGGCCCGCCCCTGGGCACCTCGTGCTGCTGCGTGGCTTCCTCAGCGTCCGTCCGACCGACAAGGGGGCGCCTGCTTTCATCGCCGGAAATCCCGCGGGCACCCTCTCCAATCCGAAGACGCTCACTCGATTCTTCGGACCGGCCTCCCGTCAAGGGACACGAGCCCCTCTGCTAACCGCGCCTCACCTCTCAGCATGGCTACAAGCTTTTCCCACCGGGAAAGCTGTGATTTACGGATGAAAGACTTCACAACAAAGGGTTGTAAAGCAGGTATGTTTATTCGGCGCCGGGCACGTGGGGGATGGCTCCGCCACAACAAGCATGCGCGCCCCCCTGCCCTGCTAGTCTTGCTTCTATGTTACAAAGCGTTGCATATTCACGAGACGCCTATGCATATTCATAACCTATTCCCGCCTACCCTCGCTTCTTATTATAATTAGGTCTCCTCCTCCTTGCGGCTGCGCAGGGAGTTCCTTTGGTCCTGGGCGGGGGTCGTGAAGAGCTGGGCAGTGGTCGTGGGAGGAAGTATCTCCTCTTCCTCACTGCTTAACTTTTCATCCTGAATTCCTGCGCAGTCTCTGTCGCCTCCTGGACCTGGGCTAAACCGCAGAGCTGGTTTGTGCCGGTTGTGAGGTGATCTTTTGCTGATACACACTTATTTAAGGGAAGGAAAGGGGGGGCCCTCTTTTGAATAGGAAACAGAGGCAGAGCAAAACAGGCAATGTCTCTTGTCTCGTGCAAGCATAATACCAAATTTGGTTAATATCCCATTTCAGCTGCAACTGAGCAGGTGGTCGATTCGCACTCCTGCCCAAAATCATCCCCACCTACACAACCCCTGAAACCAGGGGAGCACCTCACAACCCTCACACTCTTCAGCTGCAAGACCAAACCGCATTTCCAAACCACCGAGAACACACCAACAGCCACAGGCTCCGTATCTTCCACAGTCCTGGGCAGAGACACACGGAAAGAAGGATTCAGTCTCTCCACAGAACACGACTGGAAACACCAACGCCGGCAGCTTTGAAACGGCCTGACAGTTTAGGAGTAGCGCTCGGGGATATTAGAAATGCCCCTCGCCAACCGCTGCGGCCGGCCCAGCTCCGCCAGCTGGCCCCGGCTCCTGCCAGGGCACCAAGGAAGCCCCCCGCGCCACCCTGGCTGGGCACAAAGGCCTCGCAGCCCTGCGCCCACCAGACCCCAAGGAGTCGCGAGACACAGCTCCCGCTCTGCCCGGCACGGCCACGCCGGCGCCACAAAATAGGAGCTGCTGGGTGGCCCTAGAGCCATCGCCAGCCTGCGGCCAGCGGCCACGGGGCGCGCCAGGAGCCTTCCCAAGGAGGACGACCAAGGCCAGGGCGAGCGAGCCCAAAGCCTTTGCCGCAAAGAGCGGGCGCCAAAAAGGGTGTCCCTGGGCGGTCTTGTGTCCCGGCAGGAGCCGGGGCCGCCCCTACAGTCTCCCCTGGCGGTCTTCCGTCCCGGCAGGAGCCGGGGCCGCCCCTAGTCTCCCCTGCGGTCTCCCATCCCGGTTGGAACCGGGGCCGCTCCTGCTTAGCTTCCCCGGGGGGCCTGTTAAGGGGAGGGTAGCTGCACCGTGGCCCC